CTGCTTTCTAACCAGGCAACATTTCTGTGGCAGCAGCTGACAGCACTGTTGGGGTTTGTGACCTCCCATTCAGCTTAAAAAGCCAGAAGATGTGATCTGGGCTGATTACTGTAGAAGTTTTGGCATTTTCTTATATTTGCAGGACTAAAGAAGTATTGGCATATTCGAGATGAAAGAAACTCAAACAGTGTTATGAGCTTTGCTCTGTGGGCTCAACAAACAAACTTCCTTTCCATTGACTCTCAAACTGGACGTTTATTCTAAAGTCAAGATCTGATTCATTTTAGATGGTCTTTTCTTGATTCTTTTTTTTTTTAGAAAATTGTTATAAAACTCCCCAGGAGGCTGCAGAAAATAACATAGTCCTTACATTTTCTTTGAACGGGAGGGTGCAGACAGTTTGAGCCTAGCAAGTGGTTTGCTTTGTAGCAAGGGCAGCGTCTCCAAGCAACCAAACACTATATTCAAGAATTTATGACTTTGTGCTACAAAGAACTTTATTTTGCTCTCATTTGTGGTATTAAATACAAGAAATGTGCAACGATACTATGCCTTTTGCAAACCTGAAAGAGAATAAACTGCTTTGGTTTTTCTTAGCGCACTAAAATGTTTTCTTTGTTGCTTCATCTTATTATCATTAGAGCACAAAAATCAGGAAAAAATATCCTAGTTTTGCACCTTTTTTGTATTCATGTTTAAAAGAACTGTTCTACGCATCTAACAAACGTTCATCATTTTGTTGTGCTCCACCACACCTGATTCAATTATTCAATTATCAGTTTAAGTTCTGCAACCCATTCATTCAAATTAAGTGCATAATAGTGGCCCATGGGACACCACTGCTTTAATAGGAAGTTAAAAGTCCCAAAGAAAAGAAAAAAAAAACAGGAACAAAGAGAAACATCACACAGATTACACTCTCCAAAAGCAGAACTGAGAGCCATTTTCTTTTAGGGAAAGTTTTTTCTACAGCAATCGATAAACAGAACACACAAAATAATAACGGAGTACAAACAACACCTAATRCATCACCTCGTGTAAAAAACTACAAAGGCTTAGAAAACATTAAAACTATTGATTTTGTGCATTTCAAATTAAAAGAAGGCTGAGAGAAATACTTCAAGGAGCACAAATGTTATTTACAAAGAGCTTTTCGGTTCAGTTGGAAGAAACACTAAACTCCCTGGTCTGTGTGCACAACAAACACCTCTTTAAATCTTAAAACTTAAAACCCAAAAAAGATCTTGACTCAGAATAATTTGGTTTATTCATTATAAAAAAAACATGCATGAAAGAGTAATGAAAAACTTTCATAGACAATTGCAACTGAACATTTTTGACTTTGTTGTGATGGTAATTGCTTTTTTTTGTCCTAAAAGCTCACTTATTGAAACAGTTTGCCTGTTGAGAAAACTTTAATTCAGAGGACTTTGTCTTTGTTGCAAAACATTTAATTAGTTTTTGTTGTGCAACTAGCCTAGAATAGGTTTTTCTTTCACACTTTAATTTAGAGTTTATACATATTTAAATAAAGTACAGTCTGTATCATAATATAAACGTTCTAACATTAGTCTGAATGTTCAGGAGCCCTGAGGTGTTACTCTGTCTTGCTGATTTTAATTTTCTCTCTTAAGTGTTGATCTTGATCTACTGATGGTCTAAATCGTTCCAGCAGATCTCAATGTTTCTTGCAGATTTTTTCGCAGTCACATAACTTAATTGAAGCATGAATGTACAACTCTGTGAGGTATTGTTTCACATAGTGTTGTTTAAGCCTGAAAGACATTTGCATGAAAAAWACATCTCTTTCAACACAGTTAGGCAGCAACCAAGTGAAAAATACAGTGGTGTGCTTGTTTTAAATGTCATGTTGCATAAAATACAGCACTGATGCTTTATTTTTATTAAAATGGATCCATCACTCGTTTGACTGAGGAGGTTTTAATTTGTGTCTCAGCTTTAACCGTTCGGATTTAGAACAGGAATGAGAGGGGAGTTGTGTGTCTGTGTGGGAGTTCGGCTGACAGCATGATTCAGAGAGGCTGTTTTAAATTAATGCTTTTAACTTTATAGGTACATTTTTTTTCTAGATGAAATCCCAATGCCTGGTTTTATTTATTTATTTATTTATTTATTTATTTATTTATTTATTTATTTATTTATTTACTTATTTACTTATTTACTGAGCACGTAGGATAGTTTATGTGTGTTTCATTACATTTCAGTTAAATAAATACAGTAAATCAATTTCAACATGTTTAATTTACACACAAAATTCTAAAATTATGAAATAAATAAGTTTCTAATTGGTCCAATTAGTGCTGGGCGGTATACCGTTTTGTACCGAATACTGGTTTTTATTTTTGTTATGATATGAATTTTCTGAATACCGGACATAACGGTTTAAATAGACTGAACATGTGCGGAACGTTTCATCGCGGCCGCCAATGAGCTGTTTCCCGGGGGACAGTTTTCCTCTTATGTGCGTTAGCATGCTAATGTTATTGTTGAACAGCTTCAGAGGCAGGTGGCRATTTCGCTGCTTATATTGACTGACTTGAAAAAAAACATCCCGTTTTCACCATCGCTGAATGTAGTAAACACCTCTTCAGTGASGTGCACAGTTAGATTTAATGTGCGACGTTAATATGGAGACGTTATGTTAATGGAGACTTAATGTRGTTCTATTGTGGAAAACCAGGGGAAAGTAGTTTGTAATGGAATTKGAAATGACTGGTGTRCAAGGTGAGTCGTGCTGATAATCTTTATTAAATAACATAAAACAATAGACCCGATAATAAACTTTTTGTAACCCTCCTCCTTCACGACCGGACCAAAATGCATGACTACTGTCTACAACCAGGAGGAGAAAAGACACATAGAGRAGGGAAACAGCGACACMGACAGAGGTACAGTAAAAGAAAAAAGTTAATAAGCAGTGTTTGTACATTTTATTATCAGCTGRCCTGTGATGMAAAGAAAAATACAGTCAAATACCATCAAACCGGTGTAAATGTTGAAAATACCRTGATATAAATTTTTGGCCATACCGCCCAGCTCTAGGTCCAATAGATTTCTTTAATTGAAAGTAAAAATCTGTTGATTTAATCTGTTTATCCCACMGTTAACAAAAAGGTTTGGACCCAAAATGCAGACTGGCACAAGCTCAAGGAAYAAAATACACCTCGTTTTAAAATGAAGCAAAATTCGGTGGCAGACAACGTGCATAATACTCAGCTGGTGAGCAGCAAAATGAATATATGGATTTAGGCTGATGGGAAAACTGACTGCAGCTGTGATGAATTAAATGTGGCAGATGGCACAAAGAAAYACAAAGAACTGGTAAAATGAAAACACAAGTTAACACAATTAAGCCCATGAATCACTRAACATCAATAAAACTGAAAAAAAMAAAAAAACTTAAACAAACTTAAAAAAATACACGATCCCTCTCGGTTTATTTTGTTCATTTTACCATGGCAGCTGAGCTCTTGTTAATTTCAATATAAGCCATTACTGCTTCATTCAACCAAAAAGGCCTTGAGCATAGCCAGAGGGGAGAAAAAACAATCTATTTCAAGGCTTGACATGACAATTAACTGGGGGTTTGCCAAAATGAAGCCTTAACCTTTGACACAAGAGGAGCCAAAATAATCTGGCCACTGTTATAGATGGAGGAGATCAGTCACTGAGAATTATTCCCATCACTCGAACATGAGGATGACACCATCACTCTGGGGAAATCTATCAGCAGCGACAGCAACTGGAAAATTGGTTAAGTCAGAAAAAAGACAAATGAACAAAAAGGAAGAACGTCAGAGTTAAACAACCTTCGCAAACTGCAGGAAGTCAATGTATTTTAAAGATTTAGATTTCTAAGGGGTAACAACATAAAACGTATTGCTGAGAAAACAAAAGTGGCATCAAGGAAACTCTGAATCCGTGACCTGAAGGTTTCAGAACTGCTGCGCTSTCTGTTTCCTGTCCAGCCTGACTGGCTTCAAATGATTCTGTCAACAAAAACACTGTTTGAACATTAAGCCTCAGTAAACTTCAAGGGTTCCTCGGATTCCTCAGCTAAGTTTTTCATAAATGATTTCAATTCTTATGGAGTTTTTTCACCCCCCTCATTTTTAAATGAAGTAAAACACCCACGGACGAGTTCCCTTTTTTTTCTTTCTTTCTGCTGCTGTGGGGATCTGTGCAAACTGACAACAATTCATCAATGCCAGAACTTGGCCAGGAACACTTGGCGTCACGTTTCAGTACACTGGGCACCRTTTCAGCCTCAGCTCTAACTGTGACGCTTACGAAAAAGAGTTCAWCTGGAGTCTATTCAGTGAATTTTAAATCCTGTTTTTTTAAAGAGTCTTGTTGAACACTTGCATCAAAAATAACTTCTAAAAGTACCGTAAAATAAAATAAATAAATTAGCCAAACACATGCCACTTGTTTGAAATTGACCTGTTCTGTCTTCTGATTTAAGTTGTCCACTGTCCACAACTGCACACGACTCAAATTAATACGTTTTACACTTTGGATGAAATTGTGGTAATGTTTTTATCAGAGAGCTGCTTCATTGTTTAACGTGACTGATAAATATGATGAAGATGTTTTGCTTGTTTTGTTCAATCTCTGAAGGACAAATTCAAAGATCACACATGCCTTGCGCTTGTGCTACACATTTCCCACGGAATGCAAATATATGCAAATGAATTCAGTTGGGCTTTCTATGGCAACTATTATTTGTGTGCTGCAAATCTCCCGCAACTGGTCAAACACTCCGGCGAAGTCGACGTTTAAGTTTAAGCTCGTCTTCAGCGAGACTCGTTCCGATTGTTTCCCCTCACAAGTTATGAAGCCTGATCACCGCTGCGTCAGCACTCACAGCTGAGTAAAGAGAATAATAAATAACTGCTCCTTCCTTTCTTTCTTCACCTCGTTCAGTCTCACTCTATGTCGCCGTCCATCATTCTTTTCTTTATGCTTCCTGTTTGCAGGCAGACGCGTCTCCATGGGTGAGGCCCACTGATCCAGGAATCCCTGCACACTGCCTCCACCCCTCCCCGCCCGCCCCCCTCCGCAGTCATCATGACTTCCACCAGCCAGCTGTTGGGTTTGGCTGAGATGGGGCTAAAGTGCGACCAGGAGATTGAGAGGAGATATGAAATYGTTCCATCGGTGGTCTGTTCCATGTGCTGCCTCTTCGGGATCATCTACTGCTTCTTTGGTAAGAAACAAATCCATCGATGTGAAACGTGAACTCCAATTTAACTTGTGAAAATGCATCATTTACAAGCAAAAACTTCATGTGACGCAGATGCTCTGCTCTGCAACTTGTGATAGAACACCTGCAACTTTTTTAAGACCTTTTGGAAACTCCCATTTAAATGCTACTCACAGCTTTCTGCAGCAAAGTGAGATACTGGCTTTAGACATGCAACACAATGACTGCTAACAGTCTTGCAGGCATACTATAATGCATGCATGGTATTTGTTATAATCTGACATAAAATGCTTAAAAATATACTGTTCTTTAGTTTGTAAAGAAAATGCAAACCAGTAGAGGAGAAAGAGCATTAAAAGAGGGTTACATTATGAACATTTTTTTTAAAAGCATCTAAATGATGATAAAAATAAAAAGTTTAGGCAAGACAACCTCTTTAATATTCTTGGATGAATACTGATGCGTGATGTTTTGCACCTTTGAGCAGATTAATTGCATGCAAATACAATTTGCTGAAGCGTGCAGACAGCATAAACATTCAATAAATTCAAGTAAAGCATCCTCATCAGGCTCTGCATTTGAAACAGGTTGACTGAAATTATGAATTTWTTTATTTTATTTTTCTTAGTTGACAGGATGCATCAGTGCTACAGTGGCTAGCCTTGAAAATAAACAGAACATTTACCACCAGAGCCCTGTTTCAGGAAGCAGGATAAGTGGAAATCCTAAGTTCTGGGGTAACTATTTGCATATCCTGGGTTTTTGGCTTCAGAAAGCCAGATAGCAGTTATCCTGAGTTACCAACCCTGCTCTGTAGCAGGATTACTGAACAAATCCTGAGTTTGTCTCACCTGAGAGGTGCACGAGGACTGAGTCAGACAGAGCGTGTCATTTTCTAAAGGAGCCTGTATGTTGGAGCACTAATACACCACAGAAATTTATGTCGGGACAGTGATAAGACCGCAATTAGATGTCTTGTCATTTTCAGATGAATATCTGTTTGAGCATTTTTAGATGTTTTTAATTACTCAGGTTTCAATCTTTTTCTTTAAGTACAGCTTGTAGCTGTTTCACAGGAAGTTTTAGGGAAAGAAAAATGATCAAATTTCATAGACATTTCTGCTCTCTAATGAAATTATAATCAAAGGTTTAAATTCTTACAGAAACATACATTTTTATTTTATTGCATATAGAATTTATTCAGTTTTTTAAATGATATAAACTGCTAAAAATAAAAGAAATTACAGAAGAAAGGTGAGCTCCAGAGGCAGCTGGAGCCTCTTCAGCTGATCGTTCATCACAGCTTTTTTTGTGAAGAATTAACAATCATTCTGATTCACAATGAAAAGTCAAATAAACTTACATTAAATATTGGTAAATCTTTCAGGGGAGCATGATAATTTTGTGTGTTGAAGCAGTGAATTATGTAATTTATTTGTTAAAGGTTGAAGATAAGAGCTTATAGCTGACCTTACATGATTTTACTGTTTTCATATTTAATCTTTATTTGCTTCCATGTCTGTTTGGTACGAGCTGGGTTCACACACAATACACACACTCACTTTTATCCACTTGAATAAAGAATAAAAATAAAAAAATTAATATAAAGATTAGTTTCATGTAAAATCATAATCATTGACTTGATCAATCAACAGTATTACATTTTTATTATTATTATTTCAAATATATGTTGATATTCTCCATATGCCATCATTAATATTTTTAATTACAGCACAGAGAAATGGACTTCCGGTCTTCTTATTTTCTAAAAATGAAGTTATCCAGTTGATATCACCTGCTCTGAAACTGAAAATTATGCATTGTTTTATTTTCTGCATTRTATAACTCAAAGAGTCTTATTGATTGGACAATTATATTAATCAAAAAGAAGTTGCATATAGGGAAATGGATGAATAAATTAATCAACAGCATCATATAACAAAACCACAGAAACAAACTGACATCATCTGAGACCAGAACCAGAAGCACGTCAGCCCTGTGGAGTCTGTTTGTCGCTCTTGTTTGACAGCACTTTCCAGAAACAAAGAACTAAGTGCCATAATTACTGCTGCGCAAATGAGGCTGCACGTTGTCAATAGTTCTCAGAAACCCCTCAGCCATGTTTGAACATGAACACATTACTGTGGATGATCAGCTTGACAATGAATCACTCCTGCTGATAAATGTATTTTTGTTAGAGAAAAAAAATAATGTTTTGCTCAAAAAAATTTAAAAAAATGAGACAAGAAAAAAAGTTAGCTTTCCATCCGTGCAGAAACATAAAGTTGCAGAATAAATGATAAGTGATGTTGCAGGAACATAATGGATGAGGCAGAGTTAAAATGGAAGAGAAGTGAGCCAATTAAGCTGGGATGAACAGATGGGATGGAGGAGAAGTAAAGAAAGCAACAAGGAAAAAAAGGATGGAGGATAAATCGAGAAGCGGAACAATGATTATAGGAATAAAGAGCTGAGAAAAAGGGATAAACAATAGAAAAAGGACCATATTAGCACGAAAGGTAAAGCAAAATAGATCCAACTAAAGTGTAGATCACCTGTAGATGTGCATCAATTTATTATGTATATAACACTTTCTTTTACAGTACCCTTTTAGCATGTAATTATATGGTAATAAGATGGTAATAACAATGTGTAATTACATGTAATTACATGGTAATTACCATGTCATTAAAACTAATAATTACATGGTATATACTATATTACTACAGTAATAGAAACATTAAATACCATTTAATTACAGGGAAATTATTACCTTATTACATTTAAATACCACATAGTTCTATGGTAATTACCAGGGTACATCACAAGAGGAAAAGTTGTAATTACCGTGTAAGTAACACATTATTATATGGTAATTACAGGTAAAAGCATGTTATTACCATCTTATTATAATTAAATTACATGGTAATAATGTTTTAATTATAAAGTAATAATATGAATATTTTAAATTTTATTGAAGATGGTTCTAATTAAAATGTAATTACATGGTAATTATCATGCAACCATTAAATGAAATAAGGTTGTAATTACCATATGAATAGCATTGTATTTA